TAATTAACATCGGGTTCGGGCTCCCTATTAAATCTGGTTGCTGAATGGTGAACAGACGCAGATCTATCAAGAGCATAAATTGGTAAAAATACAAGTAATCGACTGGTAAAAAATTGTTATTGCCCACCCACCCATCCCATTCTGTTAGGTGTAGGCTAATAAATGTATTTGAAGTTTTTGATGTTAAAATTTTTTTGCAACTTCTGAAGTTCACTTGAGATAAAAATACGTTAGTAGTTTAGAATTTATTTTGTTTAGGCAATAGATACTGCTCTTTTGGTTTAATTTGTAGGAAAATTGTCATAGCCTTATTTATGTGGATGAACTGGTACAATCAAGACGATGTCCGAGAGGCAATGGCAATAAGGAATCCTAAGGAGGAAAAGATCCATTCCTGAGCGTCGTGGCATATGCGCACACTAAAGTCAACTGATATCTAAACTAAGTATTATTAATGTGAAATAAGTTGAATAATGGTTAACACTGAGTCAAAATTTTGTGCTGATGGGAACTGCATTGTTTGTGACTGGGTTTGATAACTTTTATAATAACTGCATTTTGTATTGAGATGATTATTGTAGGTTGTGTATGTAGTAAAGATTAAGTAACTGTCCGCGGATTACCCGGGATGGTCCATTTTATATAATTGCTGAATTTGATTGATGATTGATTGATTTGTTGTTGATACTCAAGTGGGTCTGCCAATGTTGTGTTGATTTGTTCGGCGACCCACGAATATTGCCACGACAATACTCGCCACATACAAATAAATAATTATCTTTGGTGTTGTTGCATTTTCTCTATATAAATAAATCTCAATATTGTAATATTATTTCTGAAAGAGAATGTTTAAAATGTCAAACGCTTGTATATATGGCGTGTAAAACGTTGCATCATTATACTTTTTTTTGTTATTCCTATCAGGGACCTATATACTATATAGTATATAGGTCCCTGTTCCTATGCAAAAATTTTGTTATTCTTATTCTAAACATATCATTTCTATTCGATAAAATGTGATTCCTATTCAATAATTTGTTATTCTTATGCGAAAAAATGTTATTTCTATTCGATAATTTTTATTATTCCTATTCGATAAGATGTTATTCCTATTTGAAAACATGTGATTTCTATTCGATAATTTTCTCATTCTTATTTGATCATTAAATGATTTATATTCTATAAACATGTTATTCCTATTGAAAAACATATCATTCCTATTCGTTAATTTTATCATTCTTATTTGATAAATTGATCATTCTAATGCGACTTTTTTTATAATTCTTATTCAATAATTGCATTCTGGGTAATATGAACTGTATGTTTTCGAATAAGAAAAAGTTTATTGAATAAGAATGACGAGATTATCGAATAGGAATCACATGTTTTCCAATATGAATGACATGTTATCGTATAGGAAATACGTTTTCGAATATGAATGATATATTTTGGAATAGGAATCATATTTCTTCCAATAGGAATAACAACTTATCAAATAAAAGTGACAAATTATCGAATAGGAATCACATTTTTTCGAATAGGAATGACATTTTATCGAATGGAATGATGTTTTAGAATAAGAATAATAAATTCTTTGAATAGGAATAAAAAAAAATGTAATAATGCAATGTTTTACACGCCAAATGCTTGTGCCGAAAACTTATATAATTATAAATGAGATAGTGTTTCAATACCATACATACACCCGTTTATTATGTATTTTTGCTATACATGTACATGTATTTCTGTATGGAATGTTTAGAGAGTACCTGGGCATTGGCTCACACTGTAAATGCAACGTCGCAGTCGAGACTGTCTCGTGCGTTTTGAAGTTCGAACAGGAGCATCAAAGTTGCAAGTGTAAGCTGAGTAAAGGGTTTTGGGGTTTTTAATGGTACAACTGCGCGCTCCCCAACGAACACACCATAAAATATATTACAACGAAAAATGCAACACAGTCGCCCCCCCCCCCCCCGAAAATGAGTGTACATGTGTACGCGTAGCTATGCCTCTGCATGACAACTTCTGTTTTTAAGTGTAGGGAAACCTCTTCTTAACGACAGTTTATACGTGCCATATCGATTTTTTTTTTTTACAGAAAAATAAATAAAATCGTTGTACGATTTTATAAGCCATCGTACATATTTAATGTTGTTATACAGAAATCTTCTTTTCCAGAAAGTTTGAATAGTCTAAAAATGGTAATTCTAATCGCAATTTCTCGGGCCTTTCCGACAAAGCTCGGAAAAAGAACTCGAATGTATTACGATTACCGGATGTTAAAATTTTGTACAAAATGGAGTCGTTTCCCTTCTTTTAAAGTTTTGTAGTATACAAGTATTTAGGTTAATTATATCGTTGCATTCAATGAAGTTCAGCGTATACACCGTTAAACATGTGATTATTTTCTTAAAGTTAACTAAATAAGTTTATGGCTAGAAAAATCATATTTCATACATGTATTTTTGTGGGTTATATGTTGAGCACCTAGCCTCCTTTTTGCATTATATCTCGATATATTTTGGAATTTATTTTAAAGTGGCAACTATTTTTGCTAGTCTATGTAATTTTCATACCGAAAACAATACTGACCGTTATGTCTATACTATTTAGAAGAAGAATTGTTTTGTCTTAAAATTAACATCCACCATCAGATCTATTTACATGTGACTTATCAACACTGTGTACTGTAAAAAAAAAAAATCCGTTTAAACAAGCCCATTGTCCTCGGAACACACAGCTTTATCGGATGAAATCTTACCGAATCAGGCGTTTTACAAATGCAGTGGTTGTAACAGTAACTGCGTTTTGGGGTTTAAACCATAAATGGTGAATTATAAAAATGTATTTTCAAATAAAATATTTAAAAGCAATCAGTTCTTTCTATTGACAATCTGCCCTTTAGGTTTTCGAAGATTTCCACGTCACCCGTCATCACAGGTCGTTTGTTAATTTGTAATCGGAGTAATTGTTATTACTCATGTTGGTTACTGAACCGATGAAGCGAATCTAAGGTTGGACCGGTAAACACACCCTCAAGAAATAGCCACGCCCAAATAATGATAAAACTATGTGTTACCTCCCTTGCAATACGGTTTTCCAATTCTACGTTTTCTACAGATTAATATATATTACCTAAGATACATACACTCTACTTATAATTGCACTACACTTAATGTTGAGAACAAAATAATTTTAATTTATAACGATTCTTCGACAAAATTAAACTTACGAATAAATAATCATTGTTTTCTCATTTTTTGAGGAATTGATTTGAAGCACATACACGTGTATGCACTCTTTTCATTGTTACTGGACCAATGAAGACAAAGCTTTAATAAGTACACTCGTACTATTCGCATTTGATTTCATTTCCTAATATACATGTAATAAGTGTCTATTTCACTAAATAGAGGTCCATCCAATAAGGGTTATATATTAATCAAAAATATGAATATCAACCGTACTTAATTTCCAAAGTCATACCATTTCGTTACGAAGCTACATGTTTTACTGGTGCGTGTTCCGTTATTATTGGCAATGCATCAAACGTAAGCATCTATAAACATAATACAATATCTCTCGGACACTCCCCCCCCCCCCCCCCAATTGCTATTGACTATTTTCAAATAAAAAAAATAAGGAGTCGAGCGATTGTAATTTGACTAAGAAGCTGACGTTGAACTTGTACTCACCCACCATGAATTCAAAATTGTCGAAGGTTAATGTACTTCTTTTTTCACAAATAAAAAGTATCTTTGTCGCCCCATTGCTGAATATTTGTCAAATATGACATAATATGACATATGTGTATTTGAATTGTACATTTTCTACAGAAAGGAGATGGGTGAACATGACGAGCGATAAGCCTATAGTGTGACAAACATGAAGATGAAAAATTAAATTCCTATTATATCAAAATTTTCCTTGATATTTCGTCTAACATTAAAATATACTTTATGTAAAATCTCTACAATTTGCAAAAATCCCTCAAAGATTGAAATTATTTGCCTGTGAAATATTGTACACACACTAAAGCGGGCAAAAAGAGTCATTTTCGCATACTTTTACACTATTTTTTGATATGAGTGGGTCTTCGCTCCACCTTTTTGAAAGTTAATCCTCAAAGTTTGCATAAAAATATACATTTTTTGGTTACCAAAAATATGGAGCAATGACCCACTATACCTTAAAAATATACTTTTATGACATAACATTCGCATCTTTTCGAGAAATACTTAAAGTCCATTAAGTCAAGGATCATATCACAAACATGATTTAAATGCCACTGTTTGTCAGGACTTGTGTAGTCTAGTGGTTAGCGTGCTAGTCTCGAAAGAAAATGCTTCTCGGGATTTTTATTGCTAGGGTTCGAATCCCACGAATACTACATTAATTTTTTTAATAAAAGAATAAATTTTGCCGAGAAAATTTTCCTCAGAAAAGTTTTGTTTATCATAATTACATAAATTTCAATAATGAGAATTTTACTCTAAATATTAAATTCACAAACTGAACATGATTTTTATATTTCTGAAGCTATAGGCTTTCTGCACGCTATGTCGCCCATCTCCTTAATTCAACAAAAATCAGGGCTCCGTTTTCCAAAATTGTTTACGACAAAAACCAACAATTTGATCACCAAATAACTTTAGAATTGCTCGACTGAAAATATTTTTCTATATTCTTATACGTAAGGTTACACAGGTTTAAAAAAAAATAAAGTATGTAGAAATAATTTAAAAAAAAAAATGGGGGGGGGGGTGTTCTTTGTCGTCAGTACTTTTTCTAAAAAGGACCCCAGATACATGTACTTAGGAATTGATCATTTTTTTTTTTAGATAGTGACTGCATTTATATTTCCTTCGAAGTATTGGATTGACGCATATCATTTCAGAACTTCAAAGGAATCTTCTTATAGAACTGTTATATTTATTAGGGGAAAAGTTTTATTTTTCTGTTAAAAAGTAGAATGTGGGATGAAAGGTGGAGAGGGGACAAAGAGGGAATTAAGACAATCCACACGTCAAGAGTGGATTAGAAAGACAACATCTTGCATTGATATGATTATAAATTTGAACACGGCCATCCCAAATAATAAGTTATCTCAAGATGCAGACGCAGGCAGTACTATACCTTGGCGTCTGCATTCTGAGCTTTTTCTGTATTATATCACTTCCTGTGTCTGGCAATCAAATGCATGAGAAATGCCAAGAAGCAAGTACTTTGATCAACAACCTAACTGCAACAACCCCACGTGATGATGATGGATGTGTAATGAAATTTCAGACCAAGAGAGGAATATGTTGTTTAATAGGAATAAAGTTGAATCAGCGAGAGCATTTCAAGGGGAGATATTTCATAGATAATCAATGCTTTAAGTTCAAGTGTCTTTACAATGGGAAGAAAAGGAAGTGGGAAAAATGCAAATGTCGGAAGAATAAGGTAAAGTTGCCAAAGCGTCGCCCTAAACCATCTCCGACCACTAAAAAACCTACTACAACTACACAAAAACCGAAACCTACTACACAAAAACCGACACCGAAACCTACAACACAAAAACCGAAACCGTTACCTACTACACAAAAACCGATACCGAAACCTACCACACAAAAGCCGAAACCAATCACACAAAAACCGATATCAACGACAAAGAAACCAGAATCTAGACCTGTTTCAATGGAATCTCCCACTTATGGGTGCCCTGTTCCCGGATCTGACGTTATTTATCCACCTGGTATGGAAATACCAGAATTAAAAACAAAGTCTGGGCAGAAATGTTTATCGGCATACTGTGGCGAAAATGGCGTTATCAAATATACGGAGGAAGATTGTGTAGAATCAAATGTTCCCCACAAACCACCTACGACCACAAAAAAGCCAAATTCTAGACCCATAACCGCGCCACCATTACCACCTGGGTGTACTGCTCCAGGATCCGGTAATTTTTATCCACCTGGAGTTGAGATAGCTGAATTGAAAACAAGATCTGGACATCGATGCGTGTCGGCATTTTGTGGCAAAGATGGAGTTATCAAATATACTGAGGACGACTGTTTCGACCCGATGGATTTTACAACACAACCTTTGCTGGGAACAACGCCTCCTTTTCATTTTACAACTTTAACACCTGGAGAAGAATAGCAAAAAGATAAGAAGATACAAAGTATGTAAATCCATTGATAAAATATTTATAACTTTACAAATAAAAGAAATGATAAAAATTATCTTCATTTATGTTTCTGAAAAATTACATTTTTTACCATAATTATACAAAATCCAGTTTATAAAGTTCCTCAGATTTTTTTTTTAGCATTACGTAGGGAGGGAATGGCTTCTAATGATATTGATTGTTTTATGTACTTTTTTCAGGTTGTTAAAGAATCAAACGATTTGTCCATCGAAGTTTCTGATTGGCAGGCGTTATTGAAATCAAAATAAACTTTTTTTGAACACGAATAAAATATTTGTTATACATAGATTTGAGTTGTTTTATTGTTTCCTTTGTTAGAATACTTATTTCTACATGTCTATAATGTTCAAAATTCCTCTTAATTATCACCAATTCTATATTTATTAATGCTTTCCATGAAATCAGAAACTTCGATCCTAAATCTGGGTTGAACATTCATGAATGAAATAAGTGTTCTAACATATGTCAACTTGCTTAAAAAAAAATAAGGAGACAAAACGCCTTGAAGTTTTGTATCAATGACTATTAATATTGAATTGATGTTTTAATCATAAAATTATTTATAGTACAATACAAATCGAAGAAACTTAGAATTAGCAAAAAGACAAATGAACATATGTTAAAAATGTACAATTTAACAATTGAAACTGCACAAAAAACCGTGCGCAGGTTTTCGTTTCGTTATTGTTTTGAGTTATAAAGATCCTTTTTCATTGCAGGATTTGTTTGCTCGTTTCGACAAAGATGACGACGACGACGATGATGACGATTAGAAATATAAAGATGATGGAGATGATGAAGAAGACCTGGTCAAGATATTGAAAATTTTCGAAAATGTCAATGAGTGAATAAATGTTTGTTCCATTAAAGCATCTTTGTTTTTCTTTGTATACTTGTAACAAGGTTGCCAAAGCTTTGAATGATCTTCATTTTGCTGAAAAAATAGAAATACATATATAAGTATACTAGTAAATTATTATTAAAAAAGGGATGCATGAGTTATGCTGCCAACAGAATGTTCTCCAAAAATTAGACTCATATTTAGGACAGTATTTGAAAAAAAAAGACAGAGATAATGTTTCGCAGTGGATTGACAAAATAATCAAGTTATTGTAGCTTGGCATCTCATCTGTCCTAGGGTTAATAGGAAATATTAATAAAAAGAAAAAGAATATAACACTTCATTTCTCTCAAGCATATTATAAATCGTGCATCAACTTAAATATAAAAAACTTTGGAATCATCATTGTTCGTGGGGGACCAATGTTCTTGGATTTCAAGGGTCCCCCTTACCCACAAATTTACATCCCCACGAGCCATTACTTTTTCAACCTATCGGTTCATTGAATCCTTTGTATGTAACGAGTTATCCACAAAATTACGTTCCCATGAACAAGTAAAATTTTGATTGCCCACGAAATATTAGAATGATTCCAGAGTACTTGTACATGTATGTGCATGAGGAAGAATGTTGAATGTCAAAATTAATCAGTTCTGTCACCTTTAATTTCTTCTTTTCATTGCATTAGAAGATGATGTCAAAAGACATTTATGATAAGTTAAATGCGTACACTATCTTTGCCCGCCAGATTTTATGAAATTCTGATTTATAAACAATGACATTTTCATATCAGAGGAAAACTCACTCTAGATGCTGAAGAAACTAAAGATGTGATAAGATACAATCACCCAAATTCAAGCCAATTAAAAAATTCTGTTTTGCCTTCAATTTCATACAAAGAAGCATTATCATGGCTGGTCTAAGATCAATTTAAAAAAAAAGAATATTTTCAGTCTAGATTCAAAGCGATTTTGTATATAGATAAATGTATAAAATAATACAGAGGGCGTTTTCCAGCTTCAAAACTCTTTATAAACCCGCAGATACTTTGTATAATAATTTCAGCCTGTTACCTCTTTTATGGTAGGTAATCCCTATTTCAATACCTACCATTGTAACACGGACTGTCCAAACATATGTGACCATTCTACACTAAAGGGGAGAGAGATTATGTAAATCCTATAATTTATGGACTGTCATTGAAGAATTGGTATCATTGTTTCTTTTTTTAAAGAATATTGATGATAACAAGAACAATACCCATTTTTACATCAAAGAAGTATAGCGTTTTCTCTGATACGTTAAGAAAATAGGTCAACGTCACAAGAAAAAAGAAAGTCATTTTGTGCTGAGAAGAAGGCTTTGGTAAAATATCACATTAATTCCATGTTCTCAGCAAACAAATTATTCTTTGTATTCATCTATAAAGATTTGATCTCTTTGCCAAATAGGTCGATAAAAAATCAAGCTGGTTATTCTGTCCCCCGCTTTCGCGAAGGGAAGGAACTTTAAATCTCATTCGTCTGTCTGTCTGTCCGTCTGTTACAAAAACTTTACCCTTGGTCATAACTATTGAGTAAGAAAAGATAGTCTTGGGGCTTTCTTATTTCACACATGTATTACCCGTGACATAACCTTCCTAATGAACTTTGATATTTGACGCTGTGACCTTCACCTTGGATTTGACTAAAAATTCTAACATTGGTCATAACTTTTCAATGGGAAAAGATAGGGCATTTATATTTCACATGTGCATTTTCTGTGACCAGCCATTTCCGAATATACTTTGTTTTTGACCTCATGACTTTGAGGTTTAACCTACTTTTCAAAAATTCTAATTGGGAATAATTTTTGAATGAGAGAAGACAAGGCTTCCTTATTTTACACTTACATTACCTGTGGTAACACATTTCAGAAACAAATAATATTGTTTTACTCATGACTTTGACCTAGAAGTTTGACCTACTTTTCGAAAGTTTAACTTTGACCATAACTTTTGCACCAGAACAGACAGGGTTATTAATATTTTTTTGACTTGAAACAGACCTTTTGGAATCATAATCAATAATAATATTTGACCTCATGAAGTTGACATTGAAGTTTGATGCAGTTTTCAAAAATTTTACACCTGGCGTAAATTTTTTTCAAATTTAAAAATCTTAATTTTTTTGTATGATGGACAGACAAAAAAGGAAAGACAGATAAGAGTTACCTGCAGTTTGCCGTAAAAATTGCATCCCAACCAATAATACACCGAAAGCGGAGGATCACAATTCTCTGAATATGTTTGTTGTTTCTCGCACCCCCCTCTTTTTTTTTTTAAATTCAGATCTCCACTTAGTCTGTGAAAATTTTAGTCAAGGTCGAAAACAATAATTAGAAATGGTGTTTAAATAGATTTCAAATTATTTTTTCCTTTCGAATTAACTCAAAGGTCATGGTCATATGGAGCTAATGGTAACACACAACAAATTCTTCTACAGTGACATTTACATGACTTCCCATAGGTCTGGATTGAAAAAGAAGACAGTTCTAAACGAGACAATATTTCCTGCCCAAAAGCGTTATTTGGTAAAAGTTCAAAGTTCAAGATTATGTTTCGATCAAGACATATCACCTTATGGTAAATTAAATAGAACTAATGTTGTATTATTTTTCTGAAGCACAAAGAAAACACACTACGTACTTTGCCTTCTACAGCTACACATTGTTCCAAAATATACATGTAACTTACAATAACAATATTTCTAGGTTCTCATTACATTTTTGCCTCGAGCAATGTAACAAGCAATTCCTGCACAAACTATGTCCCGGTTTAAATATTATACTGTAAATAATTTCTTTAAGCACATACAATTAATAGAATTAAAACAAAAATTTATGCCTTCAGTGAGAGTCGAACTCACGACCCCTGGTTTACGAGACCAGTGCTCTAACCACTGAGCTATAAAGGCTTGTTACGTTCAGTTGTTGCCATCTCAAACTTGAGGTCGGGAAAAAATGTAATCAATACAACCCCACATATGTTCAAATCAAGTATTAAGGTAAAGGCATTCTTTATATTGACATGGCTTACTCTTATCAATATATATAAAGGCAGATGAATAAATATTCAATCTCACCGACGATTATTGACTAACACAATTTTTTTTTTTATTTATAAGTGAAAATTGTAATATTATTGTTAAAATCCTACCATCTCACAAAAAAATTATATAAAGAATTTTTTTCTATCAAATATAGGCTCAAATGTAAATCATTACAAAATTAGATAAGAAAGGGGAGGAAGGGTATGTGGGGTGGGGTGGGGGTCAAAATGAAAGTAATATTATGTACATGTAAATATAGAAGTCCATATGTTTTATGTGTCCATTTTTTAATTTCTTTTTTCGCTTAACAGTACGTTACTTACATTTGTACTGTTATCGGGAAAGTTTGGAAGGCAGCTGTTCACACAGATTGTTTGCTTTTCGTCACACTTGCAAGCACAAACAATTTATGCATACATGTACACGTCATATGTTGACGTCACAGACTGAAATTTCGTTGCTGTTTTACTTGTAAACAAATTGATTTTCCTATATAAGGTAACATTTATAGAAATTTACTTTTCAACCATTCTTAAAATACTTCAAGTTGTAATTTGGAGATAATGAACAGTGATCATCCTCAGAAAACCATTTAATTTAAAAACAATACAAATTACATCTACCTCCGGAAACTGAGGTGGGACCAGGTGCCATGGAGGAGCAAGCATCTCATGTCGTCATGCACACCCACCTCGCGCTCCCCACCACGATCGGGCAAACGGAAAAATCCGAAGATCGACAAATTCAATTGTGAAAATAACAAGTAATAAAGCTCTTTATATTCCATTCCTTCACAAAAATGTATAAAGAAATATACTCTTTTTACACAGCGAGAGTGAATAAAGCACACATCCAGACGATTACAAAAGCACCCATATTTTCAAATTACCAGCTTTCCCTATTTATGTATAATATTTAACAATCACCGGTATATGATGTCTCCCAACTGATTCAATACACAAGAGCATATTCTGACTACGATCAATTTTTAATTGAAGGCAGCTACTGACAAATTTGATGTTATAAGGTTTTCGACTATCTCGTTTAAAGTCAGCATTTCGCAAATTCTATGGTCGTTTCAATGACCTTATATGCGAATCATTGGATCGCATTTTGACTGGTATGTTTCCCACCATTTGTAAGGTTATTTTTTTCTTTATACAATGTTGAGTACTGATTACTCCGTTTACCTGATCAATACAGAGGGCTTACGGCGAGTGTGTCCAATCGGTAAGGGATTCTTACTCCTTCCAGGCACCTGATCCCACCTCTGGTGGTTCCAAGGGGGAGGGGGGGGGGCTTTTTTTGCCCTGTTCGCGAGTCGTTTTCTTTACTGGATTTGTGAGTTTGATCACTGTTCGGTATCTTGTACCTTTTTCATTGTTATTTTACAATCTTCAATGTCACAATGCTCTGCTGTGTTATTTCACTTGGCACAGCCTCGCAACTGTTTTATGAATAGACATTTTTAATAGGCGATTGAACAAATGAAAGGAAAAAAACCCCAAAGAAAATATAATAAGAAAATTCAATGATTTGTAGCCGGATATGCATTTTTTTCACTCGTGATACAAGGTTTTTAAAAAGCAACTCGTGCCTCGTACTCGTGAAAATTAAAAAAATCTGCATCGCTTACGAAATAAATTCAGTATTTAACGACAAAACACTGAGTACTCAATAGTTTCTATTCATTTAATATATTTCATATATATTTATATGTATATAATTATTTGAATAAATAGAGGATATGTTACAAATGCGAAATCCTCTTGTTAAAGAGCCTGCATGGACTGTTTGGCAATGGACTTCAATCACTTTTAACTTACAGTCATGTTATCAATAA